CCCCACAGTAACAATACCTTATTTATTTGAGGCTGCAGAATGGGTTTGGTATTAGTGACTGTTTCAGCTCTGAATGATGTTATGGACTGAACTTTGAAACTTGTAACAATCATTAAAGTCTTCTGTGATCATATCTGAGATTGCCTTCACGTGATTTATTAAAGAACACAATTGTCATAAGGAAATTACAGAACCTCATTTTTGTAAATGACACGATAATATTCTTGGGAGCTACAGAAATCCATTGGCCTATTTGTCCTTGCATTAAGTGAACCTAGGTAACCACGCTTTTTAAATTCTGAGGCTCACTCACTGTTTTTTTCTTTCATCTTACAAATAAAGATGGGCAGCCTTACCTAACCGTCTCAGGTAGAATCCTGTGTGTCATTCCCAGTGTTTCCTCTGGCTTTGTTCATATATCTATTCTATCACTTATATTACCTTGTATTTTTGGGTGCCTTTCTATCTTATTCTCCTTAACTACAAACTAGTTGAGTACTCATTTATTTATCTCTGTATTCTAAGTATTTAGCAGATGCCCCGACTCCTAATAAGTGTCAAAAAATTTAGCTGGCAAACAGTTCCCTGAGCTGTGATGAAACGGAAATCAGGTCATCACCCTTGTCGTAACTGTATGCAGAGTAAGAGCATGTCGGCACATTAGCTGATGAAGAATTCTTTTATAAAGACCTTTTGGCTTCTTGCTCTTTTGTGATTCCTTCCAAGCTTTTAGTGATATTTAGAGGAACAGAGTTGGCTATATGTGTTCAGTGGTCTATGTAACCTTCTCCCATTTTTTACATTTGCCCTGGCATATGTCTGGGAAATAAGATTTTGCAGTCTATTTCCTATTCTTGTAGGATCAGAATCTTACAGGGAAGCTTCACAGTTGAAAAGAATCCTTAGAGCAATGTAGGCATTCAAAGGTAGCTTCTGTTCTTACAGAAAACACATATATAAAACTAAATGGCCCATTTCCCGTCTCAGATTACGCACAGCCTGAGATCAGGGATTTTTCCATTTGTCTTTATATATACAGACACCAGGAAAGAGAAATAATGAACAAGCGAACATTTAATATATTCAAATTGTGAATTTCAGATCGTGAATTTATTAAAATCCAGTTTCTATTCCAAGTTAGTTTTTCTGATTTCAAGAGATAGGCCAAGTGCCTGGTAGATGTCTTCAGCAGAGTCTTGAATCTAGGGCAACATGTCATTATTTCAGAATTGTCCTACAGGGGCAAACTCAACAAACCGCCCAAGTTGGATGCTGGGCTCAGACCTTGCTAACACTGATTATTTGTCTGGAGAGAAGCAACCCTCTTTTGTGATTTTCAACTCAACCCTGGATTATTTACAAACATCTTAAGCAAACACTGTGAATACAGTAACTATAGTAACTCTGAAAAGGAAAGCAGTGAACCGAAACTTGAAACTCCAGCAGAGAAGAAGCTACCGCTCCTTGAGCTGAGGGTTGAGATCTTCTAAGAAGATGTGCGGGAGGCCTAAAATTTCCTTCTCATTAACAAGCAAGCAAGCAAACAAACAAACAAACAAAACAAAACACCTTCAAAAGCCAAAAACAGACGTTGGAAGAAAGAAGTTATCCCAACAGAGAAGGTCTCTAAAATAGATGGTATTTTCCCATGTTTGATTTTTTGGGCTCCCGGATTAGCTCAAGGCTACATAGTGTGTTTGCTGTAGGTATCTGCCCCCCAGCTTGGTACTCCCCCAACTCTGTTGTGCTGCTCCTGAGGAGTGAACCACCTCTGCTTCACCTACACAGCTCAGTGTGTACCTGCTGGCACAAATCCAGGGATTTCCCTCAGATTATTCTACTTTCCTGAGACCAGAAGACACATGGGCACAAATGAGCTGGGTCAGTACAATTAATCCAACTGTAAAGCCAGAGGCCAGAAAACATTCATTACCTATTTATTCACTATCCAAGGTCAATACCATTCAGTTGAATAGAGTAAAATGTGGCACCATTTGCTGACAAATGTGAAATATCCACAGACGCACTGGTCTGGGCTAATGTATCTACTACATTTGATTATCTTTCAATTGGTCACACATTCTTTTTTTTTTTTTTTTAAAGATTTATTTGAGAGAGAGAGTGAGAGACAGCACAAGAGGGAAGAGGGTCAGAGGGAGAAGCAGACCCCCCGCTGAGCAGGGAGCCCGATGCGGGACTCGATCCAGGGACTCCAGGATCATGACCTGAGCCGAAGGCAGTCGCTTAACCAACTGAGCCACCCAGGCGCCCTGGTCACACATTCTCCCACAGAGTGCCATTGAAATAAAAAAAAAAAAAAAACCCATAAGGATGAAGGGGCGAGTTATCACATTCTAGGCCCTGACTCAGTTCAGGTTATCAACCATCAACACAATTTGAATAGGAGCAAAGAAAAAAAACAGTTGAGGAATTACATATTAAAGTGTTTTTATGTTTCCTGTAAGAAAATTTTATTTCTAGTCTCTATAGAATATGTCTACAACTGGAGAATAAACAATGGAAATGCAGCAACTACCAGAAGTCCTTATTTGTTGCACTTAGGAGATTCACTTCTAATTTTGGAAATTCAGTTTTTTCTAAGGCCAGTTCCGAGGGTTTTCCACAGGGTCTACAGACAACCGTTAAGTATGGCTATTGTGCTCTATGAGCAAATCATCTGTTCTCAATTTTTCAGAATATGGATCTCTAAAGTGGGCTGATGTTTGGAGAGTTGTCTTTTTGTCTGATGTGGGTTGGGTTTGTTTTTATCCACAGAAGATTTAGTTTTCTGTTTAAAGCAAAGTTAGCCTAAATTCTTGATTCTTAAATTTTCCATGCCTTCCAGGTAATGGAGAGCTTATTCCACGGGGGTGGGGGTGGGGGGTGCTGTATTATATTTAGAGGTCAGTTTCTTTTGTTTTTTATTTATTATTTTTTAAAATTTATTTTTTTAAAGATTTTACTTACTTATTTGAGAGAGAGAGAGAGAGAGAAAGAGAGAGAGCAGGGGGAGGAGCAGAGGGAGAGGAAAAGCAGACTCCCTGCTGAGCATGGAGCCAGACATGAGGCTTGATTTCACAACTCTGAGATCATGACCTGAGCCCAAATCAAGAGTCCAACGCTTAACTGACTGAGGCACTCAGGCGCCTCTAGGTCAGCTTCTTTTAGACAGCATCTTTTTTTGGACTGATCAGCAGTAATTACTGACTAGTTGTGTTAAAAAGAACCCTGCTCCTAAGGAGGTCTGTGAAAAGAAAGGGAACCAGCCCACATATTAGCTTGTTTCAAAGGGCTTTCACATCACACACATGAAGATTCACTGCATTCTCAGAGAATGAGCTTGCTCTCTAAGTCCTAAAATGCATGTGTCCTTGGGTGGATTTGCTGCAAAGATTCCAGCTTTAGTACCTAATATGAAACACAGGATCTGGCTGACAGAGAGTCAGGTAACTTCTGGCAGGTAACAGCCCTGAGAGGGAAGCAACTCTTCTAGGGAAAGTAAAGCCTTGCAATGGGGCGTATAATGTGAAAACTACAGCCCACTGTATATGGGATTTTGATAAGAAAATGTTCTCTTTCTCTATGAATTATCCTCTTCCAAACACATTTGCTAATGTTTGAGGTCTACTATTAAATATGCAATGTTATTGATGATGATTTATGATGGGTTTTAGTTAAAAGAACTACAAGAAATGAAGAAAGCCAGTATGTGCTGAATTGTTCATGATTATAAGTGAGGCAGGGAAGCTGAAGGGACTCCACTTTAGAATTGGCTCCATCTCTGCTGTTTTTCTGCTAGGTCCCGTTTCTGAATAAGCCAAAGAAGCTATGTTCCCACTTCAAGGGGGAAGCTAGAAAGTTAATCATTCTCTGAGTTTTGTCCTAGGTCCCAAACACCCGATAACGTCTAAGAAGAGCCGGATCCCAAACATGTCCCAGGAATTTAGCTTCTGACAAACCTTGGCCAACGATTGCATCAACACTCCCTACCTTCAGTGATTTGTGGAATGACACCTGCCGTTCGCCTGACACTTGCCTTTGATCAGACCCTACTCTGGATTCCTGGAGGAACACACACCTTAGACTCCTTTCCAATATAAGCCCCTAACCCCAAGTGACATTGAGACTCATTCTCCTTTCCTTTCTGAGTCTCCCAGAAACTCCATTCCATCTGCTATTTTCTGTCTGTCCCTCCTGCTATTCAATAAATTCTGCTTTCACTCCCCCAACTCGCATTTGATTCCTATCCTGCATGAAGCCAAGGAGCCTCTTAGCTGGGTTTTGCGGGAGCCCCCTCTGGCTCCTGGCCTACCTGCATCGTATATAGCAAAACATATAGTTATATTTGTTTCAAAATACTGTTTTTTTATGTGTTTCCTTTTTGGAGCCAGGGATGGTTTTTAGGTCATATCTTTATCTCTGTTTGTCTGTCTGTACCTATTGTTCTTTTTTGTTTTCCTTAGTTGTTGGTGCTAAGTACACAGCATCTCAGAGCCTTTTTCTGCTAAAGGCAGCACAATTATGGATATTTGAAGATTAACACCAGTACATGGAATATTCACAGAAAGTAGTTCTAGTACCATTAATGGTCCAAGTGATGGAGAGCTTGTCACACACAAGCAAAAATCTGTATAGTTTTTAGAGTTCAGTTTCTTTTAGGTACCACTTTTCTTTGGGCTGATCAGCACCGATTACTGACTAGTTGTGTAATTGGTTAGGTTTTGGGTACCACAAAACACAGCAGGAAACAAACACCGTGAATGAATGAATCCCGAATCTCCTAATTACAAGGCTGGCAACCTCTTCCTCCAAACCCTCAGTCTTCTTCTCAGAGAGAATTTTCTCTTGGATGTAGCTCATCTTCACACCCTTTCTAATCTCTATCAGTTTGTATATTCATGTTGTGACTCTGTTACACTCCAAACACTCAAAATGGATCATCAGCCAGTTGCCCAAAGGAAATAGCCACTAATCAACGCAAACCATAGTCAGAAGTTTACCTTAGTTCCTTGAAGGGGTCTGCCCTGACATTAGGTGTCTCTATAGATTTAGGGAACACTGTGCCCTCCGCTCCTGTAAACAAAAGAAAAAAGCAAACAGAGGTTGGAGAGTTTGGACATGTCACCTGGGGGCACAAATAGCACAGTGAGTGGAGCTAAGTGTAGGGTGAATCCTTCACACAACCCAAAGCGCATATTTTGCCCTTGGCTTTCACTCCATGATAAGGGAGCACTGAATCAACTCATGCAAACAGCCTTTGAAAAAACAAGGTACTTCTTTTGAAAGTGTTCTTGCTGAGATCAGAGTGAGGCCATGAGGCAAATACCATGTTGACTTAAAAAAAAAAAAAAAGAAGAAGATGCCTAAAAAATGGCACAATCTAACTCTTGTCTCTCATCAACTATTAATAGTCACCCAACTGGAAATGTTTTGAAAAGCAGCAGCTGAAGCCCTCTGATTGCAGCTCAGGGCACAAATCACAGAAACATCCAATATCTAGGCAGTGGGTGGATGGTGGAGGACACCCTAACACTTTAGGGTATCCACCTAATGACATTAAGGAAACAAGTTTTCAGTAAATAAAGTTCTGCATACTATCTTGAAAAGTTAAACAAAACAGAACACTATGAGAGATCATTTGGCGTTCATTGCTTTTTACACTTTGAGTATTATTTAACATTGATCCCCGACCCAATCTAGACATTTAGCTCTTGACTTTGCAATAAGCTTTTATCTTTACAACTTGTCATCACCAGCTGAACCCTCCCAGCCATAAAGATGGTGATTATCTGATTTGTCTGCTCCCAGAGTATTTTCAAATCATTTAAGCCTCAGTTTATCACAGACAATTGCACTGGATATTAGTTTTTCAATTAAACTTAGCCAGGCACTATCCTGCACTTTGAAGGAAAGGTGTTTATTTTTATACTTTTTTTGGTGTAGTTCTTTGATGCCACAAAAAGGGGCAGAATAACATCTTGTATTCATGTGCCAGTTTCTAGAATCGTCTTGTAGTGTTATGTCTAGAAATCTTCCATTAACCACGGTTATTCCAAATCCAGATTTATCCAAGCACACTGATGCGTCTAGTTAAATGAACTTGTGCAGCAACTATAAAAGTATTTCATCTTTTTTTTTTTTTTGGAAAGTATTTAATCTTTTTGATACCAGTAACAGACTACTGCAAATAAAATCAGAAAAAAATGCTTCAACTTAACATTATGTATGGTCATTTAAAAGAACATCCTAGTGAATGATAACTATTAATCTAAGCTAACATTTTGAGTAAAACCATCACATGTACTCCAGATGTACTAGCTAAATTCTCCCCTGCAACAACCCTACAGACAGTTGCAGTAGGCAAAGAGACATTTCATGTGGGCACATTTAAGATCTTTTTCTGCCCGTAGACACTTTTACTTTTTAAGACCCCAAACCACATCATGTCAAATAGATCAAAATGTACCCATAGTCTGCATTAAATACAACTTTTTTGATGTAAATTTCATAAGAATGTTGTCTTATTATGCACATATTATTTTGCTCTTGTGATTTAAACTTTATTGTGTTCTTTATACATGTGGTGGTTAATTTTATGTGTCAACTTGACTTGGATCATGAGGTACCTAGATATTGGGCTAAATATGGTTGCTGGGTGTGTCTCTGAGGGTGTTTCCAGATGAGAGTGGCATGTGATGCAGTGGATGTAGCAGAGCCGATGGCCCTCCCCGGTGCAGGTGGGCATCCGCCAATCCTGTTGAGGGCCTGAATAGAACAAAAAGGTGGAGGAATGGGGCGCCTGGGCGGCTCAGTCATTAAGAGTCTGCCTTTGGCTCAGATCATGATCCCAGGGTCCTGGGATCGAGCCCCACATTGGGTCCCTGCTCCGTGGAAAGCCTGCTTCTCTCTCTCCCTCTGCCCCTGCTTGTGTTCCTGCTCTCGCTGTGTCTCTCTCTGTCAAATAAATAAAAATTAAAAAAAAAAAATCTTTACAAAAAAAAAGGTGGAGGAAGGAAGAATTAGGCCCTTCCTGCCTAATTGCTTGAGCTGGGATATCAATCTTCTCCTGCCCTCAACACTCCTTGTTCTCAAGCCTGTAGACCCAGACTGGAATCTACACCACTGACCACTGGTTCTTAGTGAGCCTTGGGACTCACTCTGAATTATGCCACTAGCCTCCCTGGGTCTCCATCTTACACATAGCAGGTCGTGGGACTTCTTAGCTTCTATAATGACATGAGCCAAGTTCTTAAAACGAATCTCTTCCTACATGTAGATCCATATTGGTTCTGTTTTTCTGAAGAACCCTACCTAATACAATAACTGAATAAGACTGGGTTGGATTATAGACTATAATATGGCTTTTGTTACCTATATATTAAATCTGGTTTTACAGAGCATGCATTCCACATCTCCAACATTTTTGTGATCCTTTGAGGAGCACCTAGACCAAAGGTACTGTGGAGGATGCCCAGTGGGTAAAACAGGTTGGCAGAAGTCACAGGACAATGAGTAACACATTGGAATGTGCCTTCTAATTGTCTGTGACCCAAGAGCATGGCCTCAGCCACCACCTCTCAGTACCATCTCAAACCTGTTACTAAACAGCTCCCATCCATCACTACTACAGTTAACAGGGCTTCCTTTGAGATCCCTTCCCCTTCTATTTCTTAAAAATGCTTATTCTTAGCCTTTGGAACCTTTTTTTTTTTTTTTTTAAATAATTAAATGAACACTAATACACCAGATTAAGGCTAGGACAGTTATTTCTGTTTGTATACATTGTATACACTCTTTAGTTCTAGCTCACATCTCCCCTTCCTCTACTAAGAATTCTATGAAAACTGCAAGAGAAAGAGCATTACCTCTTTTGAAATCAGCCTTAATTGTGTGACTTACCCACATGGCAAGTAGTACTGCTCATAGACAACCTTCATTATTTGAACTGATATTAAAATGTTGTGAAGCTTTATGTTTCACTGATATCTCATGCACCCTCTTATTATTTTATAAGGTCTCTGAAGCCAAAGGATACCAATTTCACAACTTGTGACTATGTAAAATATATACATATATAATGACATATATTGCATTTATTCAGTCCAATTATCCAAGAATGAGGAATGACATTTTCTTATGTAAAATGAACCTCAAAAGCCTGTACCATTTTCTTTATTCCATCCACACTTTGTGCTGAGCCTGTCTCTCCATTTGTCAGTTACACTGACAACACCTCACTTGCTACTTAACATCTGGCCACACTAAGCTCAAGAAGGAACTACTCTATTGCAGCCAGTGGCCCCTAGCTCAGTCATCCTTTTAGAGCAATTCCAAGGGGGATAAAAAAATGTTACATAAATGCTACATTTGTGGAAGGACCATGGTCTCCTCTGAACACCTGACTTGGGTCCTCAGCTTTCTCAGATGGACAATTCCATTTGCCCAGTGTTTTGTAGGAGTGTGTCTTATTCTCTGTCCTATCTCCATTGCCTAGCACAGTGTAGGTTCTCAATAAATGTAACACAGCTATAACACTTAATGTGGCACTGAGCACACACTACCTGGGATTTTTATTTACCTTACAGACATTCATCCCATCTCTTCAATAAGATCCTAGGCTGTATGTGAACAGGGGGAAGGTCATATACAGAATACAGACAGATTCAATTTTAGGTTCTGAAGATTTCCACTAGCCTTATTTCTAGTTGGTACTACCACTTCTATGGGAGTACTAATTTATTGTTATAAAACTGCTCATGTATTACATGACATGTTTAATGAATGTCCAAAATCCAACCTATTTTAACCTCTTAAAATAAAAGAGCTATGTTAATAAAAGAATATTATTTGGGCTAAATATAAATATCTCTTTAAAGTAAAATAAGATTAAGGCTTGTAGTTTCTTCCCCAGACCAAGAAAACTACTTATCCTACAAGACAAGTGGTGCTAAAAAACATGGGGCTCACAGTCACATGGCTAGTGAGTGCTAGAGCTGAGATTCACATGCAGGCATCCGACTCCAGGACCCACTTGTAGCCATCATGCCCTAGTGCCTTGTTTTCTGAGTGCCCGGACAGTGTGGCACCCACAAAATGGCAAGCCAGCAAAACCCAGGGGTCTGGGCTCTCACAGTTAGAGGACGTAGGTGATGGACAGGCTCTGGACGTGTGATGAAAGTGAAGGGCAAGACACTCAGGCTCCCTTAGCTCCCACCATCCACCCGATGCCCTCTTTGTTTTTGATGGACTTTTGTGACAGGGGCCCATATGTGCCATCCATACTGGAAAACAGGCTCATAGATATGACTTCTCAGGGGAATGTACCACAATTTCTCATTATCTGAATGTCCTTGGGCATGAAACCCAATCTCTAAGATGCTCAGATTCTTTCTCTGAAAAGAAGGGACATTAATAGTAACTTTATCTCCTAGGGGTCTTGGGAGATTGAATGAGATCTCTGGCATATAGCAATCAGCAGATGATAGTCAATAAAATATTTCTAGTGGTACTAAAATATTTATGAATCCTATTCTTTCCTCCTCTTATCCAGGTCCTTTATGACTCTTAAAAAAATAACATTTTTAAAGCACTTACTATGAACTAGAAACTATTGAAACTATTTTAATTTGATCATCAGAATAACCTTATGAGGTAGGGACTATGCATATCTGTTTTTATGGATGAGGAATCTGAGACTCAGGGAAGTCAGGAAATTTTCCTATGGTTGAGCAGCAAAGAGGGGGAGTCAGAATTTGAACTCTCTTGGTTCTGGAACCAACGCCTGTGACCACTACTCTAGACCATCTTTTTCAGCAGATCATATCACTCCCTACTTGCTCATCTTTTTATGAGATACGAACAAATATCAATGTTTATACCCTCAAGTTACACTTGCCAAATCTCCCATCCCCTCTCTTCTAAAAACAATTCACATGCGCAATGAGAGGAGATATTAATACTTTCACAAAGACCATTTCTTTCCAAGTCCTATCAGGCTTCTGATTTTCACACCCTTTTTCACTTTCCCAAAAGCTGCAGAGTGGACAAACATTCATCAGGATGAATTCTCCCAT